CACGCGTGGGGTTGGGGACCAGGAGAGATGTCACGGGGCTTCCCCCGTTCAGGGACGGACTGCACACATCAGGCCCCATCACCCTCCCAATACTGGTGTCAAAGATGGTGTGCCATCGGAGTGGGGCCCTCCGCAAGACGTCCCCCCATTCTGAGCCTCGCCAGATCAGGGATCCCGAATGGGTTGTCCTTCTGCCTCTGTCTTTCAGCCCAAGCAGCTGTTCTGGAACAGTGACTGCACACGCCGGTGCCGCTGTTTCCGGCGCAACCTCATCCAGTGCGATCCGCGGCACTGCAAGTCTGACGAGGAGTGCCCCCTCCGCAACGGCATCCGTGGCTGCTTCAGCACCAAGAGCTCCTTCTGCCTGGCGGCGGGGGGCGGCGTTTTCCGCACGTTCGATGGAGCCTTTCTGCGCTTCCCAGCCAACTGTGCCTTTGTCCTCTCCACCATCTGCCAGAAGCTGCCTGACTTCTCCTTCCAGCTCATCATCAACTTTGACAAATGGTCTTCGCCCAACCTCACCATCATCTCCCCTGTTTATTTCTACATCAATGAGGAGCAGATCCTTATCAGTGACAGGAACACCGTCAAGGTAAGGTCTTGTCCAGAGCATCCACCCTTCCAGAGCAGGGCCGAGTGGCTGGGGAGCAGGGGGCCAACTCCCTGAGCGAGGTGGGAAGGAGCCTGTGGCCCGATCTTTGGCTCAGCCCCGACCTGGCCAAAGGGGCTGCCCAAAGAGATGCAGCATTCTCCTGTCTGTGGCTGGGGACATCTTAGCGCTGGAGTTTTCAGGTGGCTTCTGCTTACACTGGGAGGCAGAAGTTACGTCAGCAACATCAGCCTTGCATCCTTTCCCAAACCAGGTGAACGGCAGCCAGGTGAGCATCCCCTTCGTCACTGGGCTTTCCACCAAGATCTACAGCCTGGAGGGCTTCCTGGTCATCGACTCGAGCCCCGACATCCAGATCCGCTACAACGGCTTCAACGTCATCAAAATCAGCATCGGGGAGCGGCTGCAGAACAAGGTGTGTGGCCTTTGCGGCAACTTCAACGGCGACCGGACAGACGACTACGTCACGCTGCGGGGGAAGCCTGTTGTCAGCAGTGTGGTGCTGGCCCAGAGCTGGAAAACCAACGGCATGCAGAAGAGGTGAGCTCTTGGCTGGCCCTTCGGTGCTCAACACAGGCGGGAGCGGAGGGGTTCGTTGCGAGTAGGGGCGTAGAGTCAGGCAGCAGGCCAGGCAAATCTGGACTCTGCATTGTGTGTCGCTCCCACAGCTGTAACGAGCTGCAGTACTCTCAGTACGCTGCGTCCTGCGACAATGTCCAGATCCAGGTGCTACAAAGCGACAGCTACTGCCTGAAGCTGACGGACATGAAAGGCTTCTTTCAGCCCTGCTACGGCCTGCTGGATCCCTTGCCTTTCTACGAGTCCTGCTTTCTGGATGGCTGCTACAATCACAAGAAATTCCAGCTGTGCGGCTCGCTCGCTGCCTATGGAGAGGCCTGCCGCACCTTCGGCATCTTGGGCACCGAGTGGATTGAGAAGGAGAATTGCTGTAAGAGAGCTGGAGGATCTCTAGCCATGCAGTATGAATTTAGGGGAGGTTTCTTCTAAGTCTCACGCCAGGCTGACGCCAGGTGGAGAGGGAAAGTCACCAGAGGGAATGGCCTCAAGCAGGCTGCTGATGGCATGCAAAAATGTGCACGCTCTGGTCTGAGAATGAAGGTGTCGTTTCTCGCCTCTCTTCTCTTCTTTAGCAGGAGTGGTGGAAGACCCCTGTGTGGGCGCCGACTGTCCCAACCGAAGCTGTGAGCTGGACAACGGTGGGGAGCTGTGCGGCTGCATCGAGCCTCCGCCCTACGGAAACAGTGAGTCCTCTCGCCCTGGCGGTGAAGTCATGCTCAGTATCAGGGCAGAGTAGGGTAGGTATTTTGGGGGCAGTCTGACAGCAGGGGCTTGTGAAATGAGGGTGCTGGATGTCAGAATATCCACCTAGATGGGCTTGTTTGATTGCGAGTAGTCAAACAGGAGCAAAGCCAAGTTGGAGTATCTTCCGTTTCTGTTTGGGTGTGTGCATCTGGTTTTCTCAGCCTCATGAGCAAGCTGTAATTTGGGAAAGCAGGGTGATTCAATTGCTGGGCAGAGCTGCAGCTGAATCTGCTGCGGTCCTGCATCCGCTTGGAGCGCAGACTCACATTCGGAGCTCAGAGTAGTTTTGCAGTGCCCTGGCAGTCCTGACCTGATGCATAGTGAGGTAGAAGATAGCTAGGCTCCTGCAGTGCTAAATGTTTGTGCAAATGTTAAGTGGTATGCGCAACACCCCACAGAAATGTGTGCCTGTTAGGTTTTGAGACCCCAAGCGCTGTCTTTGAGACTGTGGAAGGGCTTCCTGGGAGAGCAGGAGCCCCACAGTTGGGCGTGCCAATGTAGCACATCGGACCACACACCAGGGATGATGGGGCCATGGCCTCTGTTCCGTGTTTGTATATATGCTGTAAGTCTTCCCTGGGACGAGCGGCCAGCGGCGTGAGCACCGTCTCCCTTTGAGCACTTGGGGGGTCTGGGGATTTCTTACTGCACAATGCTATTTTGGGAGACAGACAAGAACCACTGTGCTCTCCTGCAACAGCAGCTGATACTGGCGCCTCTGAGGAGGGAGGGCTGAGCAGGCCCACGGGCCAGGCTGGCAGCACTTTGGGGGGACGTTCTCATTCTTATTTCACACTTCTCTAGACACACATGACATCATTGATGCCGAGGTGACCTGCAAAGCTGCACAAATGGAAGTGTCGATCTCAAAATGCAAGCTCTTTCAGCTGGGCTTCGAGCGAGAAGGGGTGCGTGTCAACGACCGTCACTGCCCCGGCATCGAAGGGGAGGACTTCATTTCCTTTCAGATCAACAACACCAAGGGGAACTGCGGGAACGTCGTGCAGGTATGATGATGTGAGAGAAAGTGGGGCTGGGAGCAGAGGACAGGCCGCTCGCTGCAGGGGATTTCTCCTTCGTGTGGCACCAGGGCCAGTACGACTGCTGTCCTCTCAGAGGCAGCAAGGCATGGCTAGATGCTGGGGTGGGATATGTTTCAGTGTCACGTGGGTTGGGCAGCTGTGGTTGGTGACAGTGGTCCGGGCGAGCGTAGGTTGGTATTGTCATGCGGCAGAGTGACCCGAGGGCTCTTGCCGCTGCTGTTTCATAACCCTCTGGCAAGGACCAGCAACGTCAGAGGGGTGGCCGAGCCCTCTGCCGTTTGGCTGATTTTGGGGCCGCGGGGCACGTTATGAGCGGGAGAAGGGAGGCAGGAGAGGTCACGTGACACTGTCTGCCTCCTATGCAGTCTAACGGCACGCACATTGTGTACAAGAACACGGTGTGGATTGAAAGCGCGAACAACACAGGCAACATCATCACCCGGGACCGAACCATCAACGTGGAGTTTTCCTGCGCCTACGAGCTGGACATAAAAATCTCTCTGGATTCTGTCGTGAGGCCAATGCTGAGGTAAGTGTGGCGACAAGTTGCCTATCCCATCCTTTCTCTGTGGAGCTCAGCTGCAGCTCTGACTTGCGAATTTTTACCTTACTCTGAGCGTGTTTTTTTTGGTTTTTTGTTTTTTTTTCACTAGTGTGATTAACCTGACGGTCCCGACCCAGGAAGGCAGCTTCACGACCAAGATGGCCCTGTATAAAAATTCGTCCTATAAGCACCCCTATCGCCAGGGTGAAGTCGTGCTGACCACCCGGGATGTGCTCTACGTGGGAGTCTTTGTTGTCGGAGCAGACTCGACTCACTTGATCCTGACGCTGAACAAATGCTACGCAACACCCTCGCGGGACAGCAATGACAAGCTGCGCTACTTTATCATTGAGGGAGGGTGAGCTACCACAGAGGGTGCTTTGAGGCATCTGTATTTTTCCTTTTTCTTGTCAATTAGGAGGGCATGCAAGGGCGGTAGTAAGAGCTGGGGGACGAATGGAAAAAGGGAGGCTGGCGGGGCATCATTACGGCATGAGTTAGGCAGGGGATGGACAGTTGAGGGCTGGCAGAAGTCGTGTGGCTGACCATGCCATTCAGGAAAGCAACAGGTAAGGTGTTCGTTGCCAGCGTGGGTGAAAGCCAAATGTTTCTGGGCTAAGGGAAGGAAAGGAGCTCCCCAAGTCTCCAGCATCCCCGGAAGTGATGAGTGTCAGGGTGTTGCAGTGGTGGAGGAAAGCTTCCCATGTTGCTGAAGCTGCAGGGGCATTGAACTGTTGCTGCTGAGTTTCAGGAAATGGGATTACAAATAAGTCAGTAATGTCACAGAGATGCTGAGAAGCCTAGCCAGGACGCACTGTCGCCATCCATTTGCGGTACACTGAAATGAAGGGCTGCCATGCTTTTGTGGATAAGGTCACTTTACTGGCATTGCTCTGGGAAGCAGGAGAGGGGACTTAAAGGGACAAGGGAGGGCCAAGGCTCTTGAGATGAGGTTGCATCTGTGAGGGCCTGGGCAAGCAGGAGCCATTTGTGCAGGTGCCAAAACATGAAGGACAATACCATCGGCATCGAGGAGAACGGGGTGTCATTGACTTGTCGCTTCCATGTCACCGTCTTCAAGTTCATCGGGGATTACGATGAAGTTCACCTCCACTGTGCTGTCTCGCTCTGTGACTCGGAAAAATACTCATGCAAAATAGTAAGTTTGCCAAATGCTGAGCATCTCTTCAGCCTTTCTGTGCAGGGGGAGAGATGTCCCTTAAGAAAACAGTCCTGCAAAACAGTCCGTTTGCCAAATGCTTATAGATGACTTGGCGCACAGGGAAGGAGGTTTGCCAGCCCCTAGGGAAAGTGGCAAGAGCAGGGTTCTATGGCGCAGGAGGCTTAGCCTCATGCGGATGCCGGAAGGACTGCCTTTCCCTCCTGGTGACAGAAGGGGGCATTGGCTATGGCCCGGTCACATATGGGGCCTGAGCCCAGCCACAGAGGGGTAGAGTTGGGGAGTTTGGGGGACCAGGACGGGCTGGAAAGGCACGGGGCGAGACTGGGCAGGGGCTGATGGTGACTGAGGCGGACTTTTGTCCCTGTCTAGAACTGCCCTCAGAATAGCCGAACGGCCAGGGATTTCACCAAAGAGCCCAAGGAGCAGATCCTGTCGGTGGGGCCTATTCGGCGGAAGCGTAAGTGTGCACGGCACAGAAGCAAGAGATAGGGTTAGTCCAGTTCCCAATGTGGCCCTGCCGAAGCACTCCAGGAACGCTGGAGCTCGAGCCCTGTCTATTTGTGCCAGTTTGTCGCCTAGTGCCTGCGCCCTTCCTGTGTGCAGGCTGGGCCTGGCAGGAGGCAGTAGAGGGCATCTCAGAGCTTGCTCAGGAGTGTCCTCGGCACAAGGGGTGCTTGTGCTTGTGCATGCCAATCGTATGGGTGCTGCCCCTGGCTGGTGCGTGGTCTGCCTCACTCAGTGATGTTACTAGGCTTTGGGGCTAGCTGTGTGAGAGAGCGTGGGAGGCAGCGAGAGCTCGGGGCATGCCTAGTTGTCTGCCTGCAGAGGAGAGGCACAGGGTGGTGTCTGCTCACCTCTCTTTGTAGAGAGGCCCACTAGTGCATAGGGCATCGAATGGCTCCTGTGGAGTCTGGGTACAGGAGTCCTTGCACATCCGAGTGGGATCACTGTCCTGTGTTACGAGAGAAGGAGCTACTGGCCAGCTGACAGAGGGCCTCGCACCATAGCCAAGCGGTGGGTGTCACAGTGCTCCCAAGAGGCTGACAAGCGTCTTGGGGAAGGACTCGAGGTCAAGGCATGTCTGTCAAGGATATGCCTGGGCTGTTTGCACCCAGGGTCGGACTGGTGTGAAGACAACGGAGGGTGTGAACAGATCTGCACAAGCAGGGCAGACGGGCCTCTGTGTAGCTGCGTCACGGGGACGCTGCAAGGGGACGGCAAGAGCTGCAGAGGCAAGTCTTGCGGGTGGCCCGGGAAGCATGCAAGGGAGGGAGGGGCAGCCCATGCTGGATGTCAGGGCAAGGAGCAGTGGGAGGAGGTGGGAAGGTCAGTGGCAAAATGTACCGTGTCCCAGGCAGGAGGGTGGAGGGTCGCAAAGGGCAGCTAGATGGAAGCATGCAAGTCCAGAGCAGGTACGGATTAGAGTCGGGCGAGCGGTGGAGATCCCGGGGATGACCTAGTGGCCTCAGAGATGGAAAGGCACCTAGGGGTCTGTGTTGTGTGAAGGATGCAAAGCGTAGGGGAGGGAGATGTCTGGCCGGGTTGAGATGGCATGTTCTGAGGCTGATATGCTGTGAAAGGCAGCAGAGGTCAGAGGGAGGGAATGGGCTGTGAAATTTTGGGGCCGTGTGCGGCAGAGGAGCGGGGTGCCTGTGGCTTTCGCGCTGGCTGGGCAGTCTCTAATTGCTCCTAAGAGTAGCTCTTCGGGATGCTGGAGGGGTTGAGCTACAGGTGGAGTCCTGCGGGATAGTGAAATGATTCCCTATGGGCTGAGCACCTAAGTGGCTGGCTGCATTGTGGGGCAGTTGGGGAGCAGTGCCAGGGAGTGGGCTATATTCAAATAATGCGGCCTTTGTGCAGAAGGTTGTGTGGAGTCCATAAAAGCGGTGGAGCTCACGTGGGTGTTGTCTGTCTCTCTGCAGCTTCCAGCTCTTCAGGGGAACCCCAAGCCTGGGTCACTGTCCTCACAGTCACCCAGCTGTTGCTGTGGCTTTGTATGTATAAATGGGACTTGACCTCATAAGGGATAGGTGGCTTTGTTGCCCAGTCCGGTACTGTTGTTTCGTAAGTCTGAGTATCTGTAGGATAGGAGCAAGTGCCCCCAAGCAGCAAACCAACCTCTGACTCATACCGCTGCCAGCGACGGGGAAAGCAGGCGGCCAGGAAGCAGGAGCGGCAGTCAACGGGAAAAGCGGCAGGACGCAGGCTGCGAAGGGTGGCCGCAGTGTCCAATGCGCCAGAGAGGCGATGGCACGGGGGAGTGCACTGCTTTGTGGAGGGATTCTGGACCTTGCTGTTTCTGTAGTTTTTCTCCAGGTTTTCTCTTGTGATGGCCCCTGTAGTCTGATGGTGTTTGTGCAGGGGGTGGCAGGGCTCTCTACTCGGGACGTTGCGAGCACCCGAGTCCAGATGGCATCAGGGCTCGTGGATGGGCCCAGGTGTCCTCTGTGACTGTCCCGTGGTGAGTCAGGTGGTGGCACACATCTTTTGAGCGAGTGGAGTCATCCTGAGGTAGGTGTCCTAGGACAAGGTCTCAGTGCTTGTGCGTGGGTTTGGGTCCTAAGTGTTTGGTGACACCTTGGAACTGTGGTCGGAAGCAGTTAGCTGCAGTAGGGGGTCCATAACGTACCTGACTACAGGCCATGTCCCTCCTGCTGGGTCTGGGGGGGCACACGTCTAAACTTTTGAAGCAAGGATCCCACGCCAAGTTGTGCTATAAGAAGTGCCTTGTCCCAGGGGTGGGTGCCTGTGGATCCGTTAAAAGAGGTGCAGAGGGAAGCCCCGCGGTCATTGAGGGGGTAGGAGCCACCACAGCATCCTCAGTGGGGTTGGTCACGGGAAGAGCGAGAGCGGGTCCAGTTTTGGTGAGTTTGGCGTGGCTGGCAGGAGAGTCGGGAGTTGACTTGGTGCGTTGGTAGGCTTGGGCGGGGGGCAGTTCTTTTGCTGACATGTCTTGTGTTTGTATTATGTGAATTGGCTGAGTGAGAATAAAATGTGTTGTAATCCTTCCTAAATTGTGCGGTCATGTGTGATGGTGTTTATGCTTGGTCAGGTAGTTGGTGGAAGGAGGGCAGTGGGTGGGGGATGTGAATTGCGAGGAGCTGGGCGCTGGGCAGTCAGCGTGGGGTGCGGAGGGCAGGGCGCCGAGAGGCAGCTGCCGGCATGGTGCCCAATGGCTTTAGGAGAGCAGAGGGGCAGGGACAGGGGGCTGTTTCGATTGTGGCTTGCAGGAGGTGTGAGGTGGGGGGGGATGTCTAGGTCGGGGGCGGGGGAGAGGGAGGCAGCAGTCCTCTTCCTTCGGGTTGCTGTGTGCACATATAGGGTGGCAGAAACTTGGGGGTCTTACCTATGTACAGCTTATAAACACTCTCTTTTTCCATCCTTCTGGCTGTCCTTGGATTCTCCCTGCGGTGGAGAATCGGAGGAGGTCCCTGAGCCCCAGGAGAGGAATCGGAGGGGGTCACTGAGCCCCAGGAGAGGAATCAGAGCCGGGAAGGATCCATCTGGTCTGAGTGAGGAGCTGCAGCGTTGGTCGGTCAGAATGAGGCATCCCAGCATTCACAGCTTCCTGCAGGGATGACAGCGTGGAATGTGCAGGTCAGTGATGGTCCTGTCCTTTGATAGTTTGGAGGGGGATGAACCTGTGAAGTAGTTAATGGTGTTTGTGTTTCTGTCCCTGCTGTGGTGGTTGTCAAGGCCCAGGGCTTATCTTTGTAGGGGTGGGAGTAACTGTGAAGGAGTCTCACTCAATGTGGTAGGGAGGCTCAGAGGGATGGACGGCTTCATCAGGGCAGAAAGGCTCAGGGAAGAGGAGGAAGGTTATGAGTGCCGGTTGATGTTGTGGAGGTGATGCTGTGCAGAGGTCCTGGTGACTGTATGGGTGAGTCTGCATGAGGAGAAGTGGGAAAGTGGGTAGCCCTGGGAGTAGCTGGTGGGATGTAAAAGCATGGCCAGGAAGATGCTGTGGGAGAGGGGGCACAGAGGAGCAGTGGTACGGCGAGTGTGGGGAGTTTTGGACTTGGAAAGCGGGGTAGTAGGGAGAATGTGGGTGGGCAGTTGTGATACACAGGTAGGGCTGGTGTGCCCGTGGCAGGTGAGGGGCCGGGCAAGCGTGGGGGGCAAGTGATGGCGTGGTGTGGATGTGCAGTGCAGGGAATAGAGGATGAAGGTTTTTTCCCTGGTGTGGGAAGAAAATACCCTGTGTTTGGTGCTGGGAGGTCTATAGCGAGGGTGGTAAGCACAGGGAGCCACGTAGTGCGATGGTGAAGGGGAAAGGCGTGTGCTTAGGGGAATGGGGTCAGGAGATGGGGGAGCCTGTGGGGGGACAGGGCCTAGGTGGTGTTTGTGGCTGGGCTGTGTACCAGGTGCAGCTGTGCTTGCTGATAGTTGTATGAAAGGGGAGCGTAGCAATTAGGGTTGTGTGGCTGACCGTCGGTAGCTGAAGGTGACCTTAAGATTTCTGGAGAAGGGAGGAGGGGGGCTTTAGGAGGGAGGAGAAGGTAGAGGCTGTGGTGGGGAGATTTGAGGACTCTGGAGGAGAGCCTAGTGCTCAGGTTTTAGGACTCTGAGCAGCAGCTGGCATTGGCCGTGGATCTTCTAGGCTTGTGATGGAGAGGCTACCTTGTGAGGGGAGGCAAAGAGAGGAGGGTGCAGGAGTTGTATGTGGTTGGAGGTGTTGGATGGTGGCCGCTTGCTGCTGCCCTGGGAACGTGGCATGCTTTGGGGCGAATGAGGGGGCAGGGCTGGTGGGCTGCCTAGTGTTTGAGGCAGGAGGGGGGTCCTTGCCCAAATGGGTGCTCTGAGCCGTGTGTGTGTGCGAATGAGAGAGGGTATGAATGGTGGCGGTTGTGTCATATGCCAAAGGAGGTGGTCCCAGATGCCTGGGGTGGCAGGCAGGCTGGGTGTGGGAGGCCCTGGGGCTCAGGCTGGGGGATGGCCACGGAGGAGGTTTTGTTGGGGTTTTCAGTGGGACCGTTGCAGGGGAAGTTTGTTGTGAAGGGCTTGGCTGATGGTTCCCCCCCACCACCACCACCCCTCAGGGTGTGCCAGGAAGATGTTTCAGTGTAGGCAGCAGGAGCAATGCACCATGTGCCAGGACCCTGATGGCCTGCAGAAAGGATTTGTGAGCAACACCTTGGAGCATGCTGGAGGTAAGGGACAGTGCATGTCATGTGCGAGTGAGGAGTGCTGTGTATGGTGTGGGCCCAGGGCACCAAGCTTTGTATGAGCAAAAGTGGAGCAACTGTGGGAGGGGTGTGTTTGGGGCATGAGGCTGGCTCTCCTTGTCCCCAGGGAGATCTTGACCAGTGCAGGCATGCGTGTCTTGTGCAGTAGTGTATAGAAGGCAGCCTGTGGGTACTGGGTGGTGTGCCTGGAGGAAGTTACTGGGAGAAGGGGGTTGAAGAGGTGAGGGGGTGTCTGTTGGCTAGGTTGCTAGAGTTGTACTGTGTGTGGATGGGGTGCGTGGGGCTGGCTGAGAAAGCTGGATGGGTAGGAGGGTGCACGTGCGTGTGGTTGAGGGTGTCAGCGGGGGTGTAGTCTCTTTAAGGGGAGGCACCTAGGGAGCAGGTTTGGCTGTGAGTGGAGTAGTGCCAGGGCCCTGAAATGTTGCTGTTTGTTTGAAACAGGTTGTGTGAAGCAAAGAGGACTTGTCCGCTTGCCTCATGGAGAGACTAGAGAATGTATCCATATGACTGAAGGAGCAGCAGCGAGGACTTATCCAGCAAAAGGGAGCGGGCAAGAAGGCATCCTCGGAGAGATGGCATCCGTCGTCTTGCCGTGTGGCTCGAGCGGACTTAGCAATGATGTTGGCGTGGTGGCGAAGGGTGTTGGGGGGGGCTCTTTGGTGTGGGCTTGCAGTCTTGTGTAAGTCTGTGAAGAAAGAGGCCTGTCTGTCAATAAAGGATGGCTCTGTGCTGCAAAGGTATGTTGGTGAAGGTATGATCATTTTGTATGTATAGTTTGTGAGGGCTTTTTATGGGGTGAATATGTGTGGAGTGGGGTTGGGCCTAAACAGCCTGGCTGCAGCGAGTGTGTGCAGTGTTAGCTCCTGAGTGTTGTACAGTGTGCCTGGGTAAATGTGTGTGGTCTTGCAGGACAGGGGAGTCAATGGCGGAGCCTCAGGGATGGGACTGTGTCTGGCTGGGCAGGTGACAGACAGTGGGGGCCGGGGGAGATATTTGGAGAGAAAATAGTTTGATTGATAGCTGGGTAGGAGGGAGTTGGGGGGTAGGCGCATGCCTGGGAGGTAGGCTGAGTGGATGGGTAAGCATGTAATGAAATAGGTAGATGGAAAGGTGGAGAGGAAGATTGATGACTAGGCTGTTGGATGGCTTCAGTTACGGCCTGGGAGACCGACTGGCTGGGTGGGTGCTTGTGTGGTGCTTGATGTACCAGGTGCTCTGGAGAGCTGCGGGCATAGTAGGGGACTTACTTTCTTATTCATGCAGCAAGACACTTAGGTATTGGGAAGCAGAGAAGGCAGTTTGGGGGGGGGGTAGGTATGAAATGAAGCAGATAGATAGATAGATAGAAAATTGATAGCAGGGTGGAGGCGGTGCTTGGTGTATCAGATGCTCTGGAGAACTTATTTATCCTCTTACACAACAAGACACTTAGGTGTTGGGAGGCAGAGAAGATGGTTTGAAGGGGGGGGTAGGTATGAAACGAAGCAAACAGATAGAAAATTGATAGTGGGGTGGGGACTTGTGTGGTGCTTGGTGTATTGGGCATAGCAGGGGACTTGGGCTCTTACGCAACAAGACACTTAGGTGTTGGGAGGCAGAGAAGATTCAGGTGGGGGGGTAGGTATGAAATGAAGCAGCTAGAAAGAAAATTGATGATAGCAGGGTGGAGACTTCTGTGGTGCTTGGTGTACCAGGTGCTCTGGGCATAGTGGGGGACTTATTTATTCTGTTACTCATGCAGCAAGACACTTAGGTGTTGGGAGGCAGAGGAGATGCTAGTTTGAGAGGGTAGGTATGAAATGAAGCAGATGATAGAAAATTTGATGGTGGGGGGGGGGGGGACTTGTGCAGCGGTATATTGAGCACAATAGGGGACTTATTTATTCTCTTACTCACACAGCAAGACACTTAGGTATTGGGAAGCAGAGAAGGCAGTTGGGGGGGTAGGTGTGAAACGAAGCAGATAGATAGATAGATAGAAAATTGATAGCAGGGGACTTGTTTATTCTCTTACTCAGCAAGACCCTTACTTAGGTGTTAGGAAGCACAGAAGATAGCTTCCCCCTCAAACTATGTAACGAAGCAGATGGGAAAATTGATAGCAGGGTGGGAGCTTATTTACTCTCTTATTGAGCAAGATATTTAGGTGGGGGGAGGGAGCCTGGCAGCAGGAGCTGCTGGTGTGAATGCCAAAGGAGAGAACATACAACTTGGTTCTCAATGAAGCAGTGCATGCACTTACCAGCAAGGCCTGCTCAACAGCTGAGGGGGGTGGTTCCTGGGCAGGCTTCACTACCCTTAGCCCCTTGAGGGCTTCCAGAGCTCTCCAGGTAAGAAGGGCCCAGACCCTGCCTGATGTCTGGCAGGGGGGTTCCTGGGCAGGCCTTGCTGCCCTTAGCCTCTTGAGGACTTCCAGAGCCCTTCTTACCTGGAAGTCCTCGAGGGGCTAAGGGCAGCGAAGCCTGCCCAGGAACCCCCCCTGGACGTCGGGCAGGGCCTGGGGCCCTGGCCCTGCTTGTCCCTTGCGAAGTGCCTTGCTAAGTGCCCTGTTGCGCTCACCCTGGTCGCTCCGCTCCATGGTCGCTTTCAACCCTCTGGATTTATGGGAAAACCAGGGGGGCTGGGCCCTCTCCCCTGCTTCCTGCCAGCCCCCATTGGCCAGGGTCCTGCAGTGCTCCCTACTCCTGGATGCCTGTGCTCTGGAGTGACATCTCCACCAGGAGCCAACGGTGGGCCAGGCCCATATGAACACAGCTGAGAGGGCTGGCACCTGGGCCTCATCACTCCCTCAGCACTGACAGGCTGACTTACCTGCCAATGCAACACAGGCTCTTGGGAGCTAGCCATCCCCCTGGCGGGGGGGGGGGAGGTCATCCACCTCGATGGACTGTGGACTCTATCCAACTCGACGGACTCTAATTGGAGGCTCGGGGCAGGGGGGCGGGGGCAGGGGCAGTGCCCAAGCCCCAGAGAACCTCCAGCTGGACTAACCTGTCAGGCCACATCCCAGAATCACTCTACTATCTCGATTCTGCTCTGCTCTGCTCTGCTCTGCTCTGCTCTGCTCTGGCCAAAATATCTGCAGCATCAAGACACCCTCAGTTATGACAAACCAGCTGCTGCTTCAAGCCACCCTCCCTTCCAGAAGACACCCTCTGAGCAAGTCTGGCCCCTATCCACCACCAAGAGCTTCCCTCCACCAGGGCCCCTTTGAGCCACTTATTTTTACTTACTTCACCTTACTTACTTACTTACTTCACCTTACTTACTTACTTACTTCACCTTACTTACTTACTTCACCTTACTTACTTACTTCCCCTTACTTTACCTACCTACTTCACCTTACTTTACCTACTTACCTAACTTAACTTACTTTTTTTACTTCGCTTACTTACTTTTTACTTCGCTTACTTTTTACTTACTTACGTGTGGCAACCGAGACTTACTTTTTACTTACTTTACTTGCTTCACTTCTTTTTACTTACTTACTTTACTTACTTCCACTTCCAGCTCTTCCCCCCCCCCCAACCCCCCCCCCACCCCCACCCCCCCACTTAGGCAGGCAAGAGTATCTCTAGGAAGGGTTCTGAACCTCTCCCCAAAATCTTTATCAAGTGGTCGCTCTAGGAAACAAACAAAAAAAAAAACAAACCTCACCTGCCATCCACAGAACTCCACTCCAGGCCATCCAGCCTCCTTTAGGTGGCCACTGCTGATGCCCACTCCTTCCTTCTCCCTCCATGAAAACCACTCAACTCATCGCTGCCAAAAATCCCTGGGGGCTCGGTCAGCCTTCACTCTCCTGAGGAACACATCCACAGTGCTGTTCCCAAGAGCCCTCCTGCAGTCTGCCATCCCACAAAGCCTACAACACAGAGACACATAGGATTCACACTCCTGGTAGAGTGGCTGCCTCCAAAACTGCAAAGACATTTTCTGATAGATAGACAGACAGACAGACAGACAGC